GAGCTGCCGAACAGCCAAGGGAGCTAAAAATGAAGCGGTGAGCAGCGTTTACTCCCCCTGCTCACATGCCTCTCACGGATCCGTGGGGCCCGGTGGGTGCTGTGCCAGCGAGTGCCCTGCCAGCCCACGCACCCCCGCTTCATTCACTCCCAAGYGTAGGAGGGTACCAATCACACCTGAGTCCCATGCGTTCCGTGCTGGTTTGCGAAGCGCTGTGGCAGATTCTGGGGCTGGAGCTCGCAGGCAGCAGGCTGGGCTGGGCTGTGCTGCCATCCTGCAGCAGCTGCCGGGGAGGGAAGGGGGCAGATGCCTGGCATGTGGCTGGGGCTCCCCAGAGCCCGGGCTTTGCTGCTTGCCTGGGTATGGGCCTGCATACCAATTCCGCCGCCRAGTATCAGCGAACATCTGTAGGGCGATGTAGGTGGCGATTGAAATGCACCTCGGCTCCGGGAGGGATGTGTGGGCACGGCGTGCGCATCAGCTGCCGCCGCCTCGCCGCCTCTCGGGACGCCGGTGGCACGGCCAGGGGTGCGAGCGTGGGGCTGGCGAGCGGCACATGCCCGTGTGGGAGGGCTGTGACACCCACGCGCGGTGACAGAGCCGCTGAGGTGGCCTGGGAACGAACGGGCTGGGGAGGGGGCGGTGACGGCGCTACCGAGCTCGGCGGCTCCGAGGAAGAGGAAGCGCATCCTTGGAGAGGAGGAGGAGGAGGAGGAGGAGGAGAGGGAAGGCTGTGGTGTGCCAGACCCACGCAGCACGGGCAGTGCTCGCTCCTGTTTCTGCTGCTGGGCAGGGTTGGGTGGCAGCGGTCTCGCTGTGCTCATTGCTAAAAGTGTGTCTGGTGTGGGTGGCCTGGAGCAGGGAGGGGACAGGGGACACGGACAGGGCGTGCAGGACCTTGAGCGCCGACAGCTTCTCTGTGTCCTTTGGCCACGTCCCCTCTCTGAAATGGGAACCTCCCACCCACGGGTGCCCCCTCGGTGAGCTCTTCAGGGGACTTCTAGGTGGGAAGGCTCGCAGTGAATCCTCCAGGGCTGGAAATGGCCAAGGGGCTGTTGTTTTCCCAATTTCCGTGACGATAGTTGCGTTTTCAATTAAATCCAAACGGCGCTTTTTAAAAAATCCGAACGTAATGTTTTTCCTGCTGGTTGTTTTGTTTGAAATCTGAATGCTTTAATCTTTCTTTCTGTTTATTTTCCAACAAATTGGGCTTGTAAAGGCTGTTTTGGAAAGCAAAGAAAACCTGCTATAATCACTTCAAGAAAAGACGCTCTGAATGCTCTAACGGTCCAGACAAATTGGCTTTGGTGCGACTAAGTCTTGGGGAGTACAAGCCTCGGCTTGAGCTAAGCCTTGGATAAATACACCCCAAAGTAAAGCATTAGCTGGTATTTGTTTGTTATTTGCTGGCTGGAGGGATGAATGTGTAATGAATCTGCTGGCCCTGTCTTGCTCKTGTCCCCTCTCGTGGGAGCAGCACGGGCTGCTGGAACCCTGATCTCCCATCCCTGGAAGTGTCCAAAGCCAGGCTGGACAGGGCTTGGAGCAAGCTGSTCTAGCGGAAAGTGTCCCTGTGGTCTGWAAGGTCCCTTCCAGCCCAAACCGTTGCATTATTTTTGTCCCCGGGATGTTGGAGGAGCGTGCAGGAGGCCCCGGGAGCAGGAGAAGTGCCAGCTGTGAGTCCCGGTGGCTGCACCCCCATCCCTGCGGCCAGAGCAGAGCTCACCCGGGGCAAGGCTCCGCGGCGCCGCTTTGCAGGGATGCGGGAGCGCGAACCGCGCTCGGGCTGCACCGGGGCTGATGGTCCGGGGCGAGCGCGGCTCGGGGGCGGCCGGCGGGGATTAAGGGGCTCTGCCAACCCCTGCGCCCGCCGAGGAGGAGGAGGAAGGGGCTCGGCCGGCGGGGGCCGCGGCCGCCCCCAGCCCTGCGCGGCGCGGGGGGGGCGGGCGCGGGCGGGAGCCCGGCCCACGGGCGGGAGCGGAGCGGGGCGGAGCGGGAGCGGCGCTGGGCACCTCAGCCGGGCTGGCAGCGGCGGCAGGAGCGCGGCACGCCGGGGCACCGCACCTCCGCAATTGCGCCGCAGCCCGGGGCCAGAGCTGCTCTGTATGGCATGTGGCTGGTAACTTTTCTCCTGCTGTACTCTTTGCCGAAAGGTACGTGGGCACCGGGGCGGGGGCGGCGGGGCTCCCCGGCGGCGGGACCGGGCGRGYGGCACGGGCTKCGCCCTCCCCGGGGYTCTCGGTGTTCYGTTCCTCGGTCCCGAGGCTCTCGGTGCCCCCTCGTCGGGGTCCCGGCGCTCTCGGTGCGTCTTTCGGGGCTCTTGGTACGCTCTCCCGGGGGTTCCGAGGGTCCCGGTGAGCCCTGTTGGGATCTCGGYGCCCCCTCGCCGGGGTCCCGGGGCTCTCGGTTCGCCGTCCTGGGCTCTCGGTGCGCCCTCCCCGGGGTTCCGCGGCTCTCGGTGCGCCCTGCCGCGCTCCCTCTGCACCCTCCCCGTAGCGCTCGGGATCGCCGGTGCGCTCTGGCGGAGCGCTCGCCCCGGACGGCGCGGCGGAGCGCGGGGCTCGGTTCGCGGAGCGGGGCCGGTCGGTGCCGGCGCATCCCGGAGCGGCTCCGAGGCGGAGCCCCCGGGGCGGAGGTGGCARCCGCGGCCGGGACCCCGCACCGACGGGCGCAGCATCCTCCGGCGGGGCCGCGCCGGGACCGAGCGCTCCGCGTCCCCGGAGCGCTTCTCAGTCTGATCCCGTCAGCRGGAGAAACCCAGCGATGCCTTAAAATTCGAATCCTTCCCTCTAGGAATGCTGTGTGAAGTGTAACCCAACGGCTTGACATCAATCAGATTATAGATAAATCATATATGTATGGGGGGGGGAGGGGGAGAATCATAGAACAAGCGTGTCAAGGAGACACACGCTGCAAGATTACAGATTAATTTAAAGTTGGGCATTAAGTGAATGCTGCCCACATCCAGCGAGGTGATACTCTAACTGAGAGTCTGCTCTAGATGCAATTAAAGAGAGGCAGGAGCTGCGTGGAGCACGGGCACTTAAATCCCACTGCGTTTGTTACAACAATCGATCCATGTTACATAAAGGAATTGCCCATTTCCGGATCTGCGGGAATTTTTAATTATGTTTCTGTAATAAATTACCTCTTTGCCCATGACCCGACCTGCGGATGCAGTGCTGGAAGCGCCCACCTCTTGGAAAATTGTCTGCTCGGAGGATGTAAAATGACATTTGCCCTAATTATCGTCTCTGACATTTGAGAACAGCAAGGGGGAAATTTTAGGAAATGAGGAAAGTGAAAGAAAGGGGACAGAGCTGTTTCCTTGCATGAGACCTCTCTTGCTGCCCATTACATTACCCCGTTAGCTGAATGTTAATCCAATGAAAAATATTTACTGAGGTTTAATAGGGCACCCTGTCCGGTCGTGCGGTGATGATCAATTATTCCATCAATTATTAATTGTGGAATAGCTGCTTTATTCGAGCTGGGGTGAAGCTGCGATTTTGGGAGCTTTACCCAAAATCGCTATTGTGCTTCAGATCTGCTGAGCAGAACGTGCCAGCGTCTGCTTTGCTTACATTTGCATTTTTTACTGTGCTAAAAGGAAAAAACAAACCTGGAAACAAATAACCGTCGAGGATGCCATGATTCCTTTCGACCCCCAATAGTCAAAATAATAAAGAGCTGCTCTGGTTTATTGCTTTTTGCATCTTTTCAGCCCCAGCTTCTTGGAAAAGGGATCTCTTCCCACAGAGCTATCTCTTCGGAGAAGAGCAAATTAAAAGCCTCCATTAGCACAACTCCTCGTGGCCTCATTTTACATTTTATTTCTTAAAAAAAAAAAAAAAAAAATATCTTCAGCATGAAACAGTCCTGGTGATGCAAAGTGTTAACGTGAAGCGGTTCCAGAGAGAGGACAGCAATACAATGGAAGTTTCATTAGAATAATAGGATAAAAAAAATGAATTGCTTAATGCATGATAAACCTTTCAGATACTTAATATTTCTGGGCATCGAAGCACATCCTTTTAACGTGCTCCTGCTGTAGAACAAGAGCTCAAGTAGAAACCGAAAGCAGATAAACATTTGATCCAAGGGACCCCTGAAGTTTAGAAATCCCTCGATGGGCTGTAGCTGCTTATTTCTGCCCCTGTTTATAAAATAAACAGAAATAGGTGGTTGGCAAGCAGAGAGTTGAGCAGCAAGATGGTCTGGCAGGGCGAGGGAGAGCAGCCAGGCAGAGGGGAGGTGAGCGGTGTGATGAGGGACGGASTGGCCACAACGGAGAGGCTGCGAGCCAGGGAAGCGTCTCCCTGCGTGATGTTGCTGGATGGCTCTGCCGCCTGATTTATATTGGCATTATATTTACATGATGTTCCCGCGTTGGGCGCAGCGAACGGTGCAGCTCGCGGTTTCTAATCTCTCCCATCTCGGCCCCCCAGTGTGGCACAGCGCTCGTTTGTCTCTGAAATGAAACATGGAAACCTCATTAAATGCACGGAGGAGAAGCCTGCAGTGCTCGGCTCCTCGCCGTGCCCGGCGCTTGTTTATCCTGCCAAAATTTCCCAGCACCAGGAGCCACCATGGCGGCTCGCCCAGAGCCTTTACCTGCGCCTGGCATGGGTTTTGCACGGCTCCTGCTTTGGATGGGGAATGGAAAAAGGCAACCCTGRTGTTCCTGGGTGTTTGTCCTCTAGAGGAAGAGGCTGTGCCTCGTGCGAGGAGCGAGTGCCAGGGATGTGCTGTGGAACAGCCCTTCCTGGASCCGGGGGCTGCCCGGGAGCTTGGGGCACGGCTTGGGGCAACCATGGCTCCGRCACTTTGATTTTGGGGTGCCGGGATCCCTGTCCGTGTTCTCCTGTGCTGGGGGGATGGATGGGCGGCGCTCCGTCCTTCTCCGGAGCAGCTGGCGAGCCCAGGGCAGGGMTAAAGCTGGAAGTCTTTGTGGCAGGAATTGTGACATGGCTGAGCCGCGCCTGGGAGGACACGGAGCCATGGCGCAGCCGAGCCGGCAGCGCGTTAATAGGTGCGACTTTCCATGGTGGGCACGAACGGGAAGGCGCTGGGTCGCTGCAATCGTTCGGATGTGCGGTGACAGCTCTGGGTGCAGAGGGTCCCTCGCCTTTGAAATGTCGCTGATAGCCAGCTCTTCGTCTTTACGTAACCCCGGGTTCGGGAGTCAGCCTTTCCCTGCTCGTGCATCCCGCAGAAATATCCTCAGCCGCACACAGGCTGCGTGTTGCCGCCATCATCCGCCAGCAGAGCTCCACCAAACATTTAGGAATTCCATTTCCAGGCTCGTGCTCCTGCCTGCTCCCAGCTGCGCCCGGGAAGGGCTGCGGCGGCTCCTCGCCCTGAGAGGGGAGAGAGCACGGGGAGGAGGTGAGGAGCTGGCAGAGCTCGCCCTGAGGTGTTGTCCTGCCGGCTGCACGGAGGAAATCTTGGTTTCCACCTTGCAAAGCCACCGCGTGCGCTGTGATGGGTTGGCAGCCTGGCCTGGCAGCGTGGAGGGAGCCCAAGGCCAGGCGTGTGTGGCCTCTGCTGTGTCCCCTCGCCCACCCCTCGTGCCCCCTCGTTTGGCCTCCCCGGGGACACAGYGCTGCCACTCTGGCTGGGTAATGTCACCAGATGTCCCCTTGGGACTCAGCTGCAGCTCCTCAGGCGCTGTGCTCAGCATGGCCAAGGCATGGAGGTGGCTCTGGAAGGGAGGGAGAGGCCGTTCCTTGGGGTCCCTGTGCTCGTTCCTCCCCCAGAGCTGAGGGTCCCCAGGCCGGGGGGCTCGGGAGGTGGGGCAGGGCTGGGGGATGCCCAGTGGACGGCGTGGTGAGGCTGGTCCCTCTCACGGGCTGCCATGRGAGGTTCAGGAAGCAGGAACCCTGAGCCGGGAGAGCGTTTTTTCCCAGGCAAGGGTTACAGCCTCAGCCTGGGTGCTGTCGTAATCGCTGGAGGTGGTTCAGGCCTTAATTTCCATGCAGATGCATTAAGGAGCAGGCGCTGGGAGCATGTTTGAGCCGTGCCCTTACCCGCAGAGGACCAGGGGCAGCCTCTCCTTTGCTCCCTCTTTGCTTTGTCAGCTCKGGAAGGACCGTGGTGCCACCAGGGTGGGACTCGAGTGGCGGCCGAATTGCGGTGCCAGGGCAGGGAGGATGCTGTGGCAGGTACCTGCCATGGCTGCTGCTGTGCCGGGCACCAGCTGAACGCCTCGGGCCTTGCTTGGCATTTCCTGACACAATTTCCACCGCTCCCTGAGGGGCACAGAGTCACGGCTTTAACCCTTTGTGCTGGGGAGGTGACATCCCGGGAGGATGCGCTGCTCTCCCGGCTGTGCGGGATCAGCCCATGGAAAGGCTCAGCCTCGGCCTCTTCCCTCCTCATCCCTTCCATGGTGCTCGGAAGTTCCTCTTCTCGCCCCATCAGCTCCAAGGTCACTCCCTCAGTTAGCACAAAGGCTGTCGGAGCTGTCCTGGAGATGAAGCTGGCTCCGGGAAGGCCGGGAATCTGCTCCAGGATTCCGGAGGTGCAGGCAGCGTGTGATGGAACTGCCGTCCTCTCTCCAGAACGGAGGAACGATTAGGGCTCGCCACCTACCTGTAATTCCCAGCCCGGTGCGTGCCAAGCTTTGGTTCACKTTCTCCTTGAGCAGGGCAGGTGTCAAACACCCTTAATGAGGATAATAAATGAGTTTCGAGGTGCCCATTAGCCTGCTGCTCTGCACCGCATCCCTGCAGCCCGGCTCAGCCCGGCTCAGCCTGGCCTGGGGAAGCCCTGGTGGCTCCTCCAGACTCTTTGGAGCCCCACGGGTGCTTTTTTTTCCCCCCCGGAGGGAGCCCCATCAGCTTCTCCCCAGCCTTTGGGGGGTTCTGGGGTGGGCAGACCCCCAGGATCAGGAAGGAAAGCTGCTGCCAGCGGGTAATGGGAGCTCCAGTCTCATGCCCGCAAAGAGGATGGCATGAACCCCCTTGAAACACAAATTCTTCAGCCTTTTCTCATCTCTGTAAGGTTTCCACCCAGCTAAAGGACCTTGCTCAGCTCTGAGGGACTCGCTGGGTTTGGGTGGGCTCGGGGCTGGCTGTGTGGTCCCGAGGGAGCAGCTTGCCAGCCAGGTGACGGGCATGAGCAGGAAAAGCCTCTTATCTCAGGAGGAAGAGCCCTGGCTGGCACCAAGCCGGTCCTTGTCTGAGACTGCTCCTAAATCCTCTTCTCAGAAAAGGCCGGGCTCTTCCCGGGGAGGCTTTGTGCTGCTGGGGAGGTGATGGCATTGCTGTTCTCCTCGGGCAGGACCCACCTGAGGTGGTGGCATGGTGACAGATCCTGGGGACAGTTTGTGACCCCTCTCCCAGAGGTGGTGGCATGGTGACAGATCCTGGGGACAGTTTGTGACCCCTCTCCCAGAGCTGGGAGACATGGTGACAGATCCTGGGGACAATTTGTGACCCCTCTCTGGGGCGAGCAGGTCCTTGCAGTGCTTTGCAGTGTCACTGAAGGTGCTGGAGTTTGGGAAGTCCAGCCATCAAGGCTAGTAAATATTCTGAAAAGATGATAGCAAAATGACTTGCTTCTCCCAGCTCGAATGGAGATATTAATATTTCAATACCTCTAGGTTGTAATTTAGCACAATTTCAGCAGATTGAGCTCTGATAACTTGAAACACCTGCCTTTCAGAGGCAGCTCGAGTGTCCAGCCCTGTGCTGGGCTCGGTGCATTCCCAGCTGGAGCCAGGCTGAGCTCCAGACTGAATTCCCAGCAGAAACTGTTCCATCTCGGCTCCCCCATCCTCCTCTCTTCAGGTTCATGTGAATTAATGCCCTCGATATGTAGGTTAGGGTCAGCACATCTGACCAGATGTGAGCAGTGATTTCTGGTTTAAAAATATTGCYGTGCTATTTCTAAATTTTTAATCTCTCCCAGCGATTTGGAGACAGTTTTATGAAACATGGAATTAGGATGGTGCTCAATGCTAAATGGTAAAGGAGATTATGTGGATTTAACTCTATGCGTCTGTCACATAACTATTGCCAATCCCATAACCTCCATTTTCTATTAAAAATCCCTTTCCCCCTTTGACCTGAAAAAGCTTTATGGGTAATCTGAAATTCTCTGTTTATGAGGTATTTTTCCACTCCTCGCCCCAGCCCCTCACCCGTCCAGCTCTGAGCCCTCCTGGTGCTGCCGAGGATGAAAATGTTCCCCTGGCAGGCTCTGGGTGCTCAAGGAGCCTCCTCAAGATCTGTGGGATCTGGGGGGAGATTCTGGATGGAGCAGTGGGCACAGAGGGATGTCCTTGGTCCAAAGCCAGGCTGAAGGTGGCTTTTGCTGTGCCCTGGCTCCAGCCATCTTCTGCTCAGCTCAGGCTCAGCCACAAATAGCTCTGYGCTGCTCGTGCGGGCTTTGTTTCCCTTCCTCTGCCTGCAAGTGCGCGTTTTTTTTCCCTTTCATGTATTTGGGAGAAGCACCGCGCTGCTCGGATGAAGGGAAATGCTGATTCATGACGACAAACCAGCCTGGAGATGTCACAAAATGACATCTGCAGGGCCAGGCAGTGGCCTCGTGGCTCTGCAAAGGCTCGGCTGGAGCTCTGCTCCTCCATCCGTGGGTCTTTGGTGCTTGTCAGCCAGGGAGGGGAAAATAAATGGCTTTGTCTCCTTCCAGCCGTGCGTGGACACGGGGAATTGGTGTGTGGAGATGCTTTGGTGACCTGTAAATGGGTTATCTTGTGTGATCATGGAGCTGGATCTCACTATCAGCTCATCCTTTGTGCGGGACAGAGGGTTCTGAGCGGGCACGGGAGGAAACCTCGATATTTTCGGGGAAAATTCTGCGCAGTGAACACAGAGAGCAAGAGTGAGGTGCTGACAGAGGCACGAGGGTTTAAGTGCAGCTGGGAGAAGATGGAGAGGACTCTGCTCTGAGAAAGGCCGAGGTGTCTCGGGTGTCCCATCCTGATTTGGTTGAGGTTGGTGAGAATTGGGCTGGTGGCACAGCTCCCAGCAGGGGAAACAYCTGTCTGRAGAAGCTTGGCGTGGAGATGGAGCRCCCATGGCCACTCAAACAGCCCTTCCTYGGGCGAGCAGAGCTCAGGCGTGCCGATGAGGCTTTCCTTCTCCCCCTGCTGCCGTCCCCTCCTCCCCAAGTTAAGGAATCGAGGTCAGGGAGGGTCCCCCGTGAGTCGTTGTGAACCGGCGGCACGGTGCTGATCTGCTTATTGGCTCTGCGGCACCACGGGCGTGCGCTCAGCCGCTGCTATTAATACACCCGCCGAGGGCCCTTCCCAGATCCCTGTCCTTCCGCCCACTTGGAAAGAGTGCAGCTAAAAAAAGAAAGCGGATCTAAGTGACTGGGGGCCTCCTCATCCGTATTTAGAGCCAAATTCCCCGGCTCGGGTTGGCAACGGGGAGCTCGTGGTGCTGGACACTGGAGGAGTTGGGTGCCGAGGTCCATCCTCTGCTTCCCAAGAAGGGAAGAGCTGTTCTCCAGCAGTGAGAGCTGCTCTTGGGCATCCAGGTGGCCACAGCTCTGCCTGGACTGTGCCCCTGTAGCCACCTCAGTCCTCATTAGGATGGAGCAGGGATGCCCTGGAGATGCTCAGGGTGGGTCTGAGCTTCCTCCTGCCCGGCTCTGGAGAGGGGAGCAGCTCTGATCCCGGTTCTSCTGCTCTATCCTGCTTTGGGGCACAGGAGAGGTCTCTGCCCTGCGTGGTGATGATGAGCACTGGCTGTGTTGGCGTTGCTGGGGTGCCCAGAGGGAACAGGGGGGCTGGACGGGGCTGCTCCAGGCTGGGCACCGCAGGAATGTCGGGGTTTGCAGGAGGAACAGGGTCAGTGGCCGTGCTTGGCAGGGTGTCCTCAGGGCTGTGGGTGCCTCTGGGGTGCCCATCCCTGCCTGCACAGCCCCTGGCTGTCCTGCCGAGGTGCCGGTGATCCCTGATCCGTGCTGGCAGCGGGAGCGCTGGCCTGTGAAGGTGGTCTGTGTGCTCCCAGCCGTGCACGGATGCTCCTGTGCTCCCCTGCTCTGCTACACGCAGGGCCCGGGTGGCTGTCCCGGGGGCAATCCCGTGCCAGGGGTTCTCTGTGCCACGGGGGTCTCTGTGCCAGGGGGTCTCTCTCTGTTCCAGGGGGTCTCTGTGCCAGGGGATCTCTGTGCCAGGGGGGTCTCTGTGCCGCGGGGGTCTCTGTACCAGGGGGTCTCTGTACCAGGGGGTCTCTGTGCCAGGGCATCTCTGTTCCAGGGGGACTCTGTGCCAGGGGGTCTCTGTGCCAGGGGGACTCTGTACCAGGGGGTCTCTGTGCCAGGGGGACTCTGTGCCGCGGGGGTCTCTGTACCAGGGGGTCTCTGTGCCAGGGGGACTCTGTGCCAGGGGGACTCTGTGCCAGGGGGGACTCTGTCTGCCACCCCCGGCCATCCCTGCAGTGACCCCCGGCCGTTTTGGCCTCTGCTTTGTCCGCAGCACACGCTGAAGATGTTGGAACCAGCCTCTACTTTGTGAACGACTCCCTGCAGCAGGTCACCTTCTCCAGCACAGTGGGGGTGGTGATCCCCTGCCCGGCAGCAGGGTCACCCAGCGCCGTCCTTCGGTGGTACCTGGCCACAGGCGACGACATCTACGATGTGCCCCACATCCGGCATGTCCATGCCAATGGGACTTTGCAGCTCTACCCCTTCTCGCCATCAGCCTTCAATAGCTTTATCCACGACAACGACTACTTCTGCACCGCGGAGAACTCGGCTGGCAAAATCAGGAGCCCCAACATCCGTGTTAAAGCAGGTGGGAGCTCCCTGTGGGCACCAGGGGCTGGTTTTTCTCTGCTTTTCTCCATGGCCAGTTGGCCCAAAAAGTGCAGAGCCAGGGCTGCTGAGCTGGGCTTGTGCTGCAGGGTTTGTGATGCCCCATGGATGGAGCAGGGGAAGGGCAAGGATGTGCTGGGTGGGATGTGCTGGGTGGGATGTGCAGCTTGGAGGTGTCCAGGGAGAATCTGGAGAAGGTGGTGTGGCTGCAGCCTGGTGGCAGGAGAGTTCCTCTCCCTTTGAGAGAGTTTTCTCAGCTGCAGGAGGAGCTGGGCCACATCTGTCCATGCTGGGGCCCCACGGTGTCCTGCAGCCCTGTTCCCACCGCAGCGTCCAGCCCCAGCTCGCCAAGGCTTATTAAGCAAAAAAAAAAAAAAAAAAAAAAAAGGAATATGGCAAAGAGCTGATTCCAAAAGCCATTATGGTAAATTATTGACCAGGCTGAGGAGGGCTAATAGCCCAGGAATGGCTTCATTATGTAACCTATTAAAAGTGGGGCTAGCAGAGGGAACGTGACAGAAGTGACTACAGGGTTTTTTATTTTAATACCTTGTACTGTGGAGTAAATTGGTATTAACCCCCTTCTGCAGAGTGAATTATTTACCAGCACTCTCAGGTTACCTTGGTGGAGGAGCAGATGGGGTGTAGTGAACGTGGAGCTGTCGCTCTCCTCCTGGGCTCTGCTGGGATCCCAAACACCCAGAGCTGTTCTGGGGTCACAGAACAGGAATCCTGACCCTCATCCCTCATCCCTSTCTCCATCCAGRACTGAGTGCAGCCCTGCTGCTGSTCTGGGAGCTCAGCCTCCCTCTCTGTCAGCAGATCTGGGTGTCCAGGGGACCAGCAGGGATGTCTCCAGCTCCTGGAGCTGCTCTGGCTTTGTGGCTCTGGAAATGGGTGTGGAGCATCCCCCAGTTCCTGCTCCCTCCTGACCGTCCCAAATCCCAGTCACTCTCCAGTGCTTTGTAACCACAGTGCAGCACAGAGAGCCAATTACAGCTGCAATTCAATAAAATGCAGTGGAAGCTGAAAATATGAGGGGAAAAATTCCCTGSAAGTCTTGAGAAAGCTGTCGGCGAGCACATGGAGCAAACTCCTCCAGCCAGTGGAGAGGTTTCAGTGTTCTGTTTTGTGGCTGTGTCACCCTCGTGGGTGGAGGACAAAGCTGGAGGATGGCACGGGCCAGGGATGCAGCGGGGGCTGTGCCCAGGGTCTGTCCCCAGCCGGGGCTGTCGTGGTG